CGCAGTAGCCGTAGTCGTCGTCGTGGTAGTAGTCGTCGTCGTGGTATTGGGTGCTAGTACGGAGGTGGTCGCCGTCATCGTCGACCAGAGTTCTACCGACAAGTTGACAAGTTGTCAAAAGGCGAAACAGAGGTAATTCCCCGACCGTGGAAGATGGTACCATGACAGGAACTGAAGGACGTAGCCGTGGCAGGGTGGCACGTCCTTCTGCTGAAGGACTGAACACACGATTGGGATCTACACAGGTGCCTCATGCGTGAGACCTCAAGCGGGTTGCAAACTGCGCTCTGTCTCGCTCTCTCTCTCTCTCTCTCTCTCTCAGCAGCGGACTCCGCGAGCTTTCGCCGACATCTTCCCATACCTCAGATTCGTGGGCTTGGAAGAGCGATCCAACCAGGAAAACCCGGGGACTCAGGGTTCTGACGCCCGAACTAAACTTCAACATGAGCCACTCGAAACCCCAAGGCCGCGCAAGCTCAAAGGGGCCCGAAGCTCCGGCGCTGTATCGAGCCTCAGACGTATCGCGCACTTCGACGATCTTTGCAGCGAGCAGCGGCTTGAAGCCTTGGCAGGGGACTCGATCTAGAATGCAATCATGGAACGTCGCACATGCTTCTCGAAAGGGTGATGTTGATACCGAGGGTCCTTGTCTTCGAAATGTGATGCCACTCTCCGAAAGGGCATTCAATACCCTTAATAAGGAATATCGCTTAAATTAGGGGCCTTAATACTATGATTTAAGGTATATTCCTGAATTAAGGGGTATTGGGCTCTCTGGGAGTCTGGCTCGCGCTTCTCTTCTGGCTGCCCTGGCGGTAACGGCTCTTTTAGGTCTCACTGCTTTCGCCAACGGGATGAGAGGTGTGGGGGCTGTGCGAAAGCAGTGTTAGCATGAATTTCGGAGGACGTTGTACCAGAGCTTCTTTCGGAGAAGGAAGGGTGGATCGAGGAGGATCCCACCACGATGTCAGAACAGATGATGAGGAGCATGCGGAAGGGATCAAGCTCCAGTATCGACACTCTACACGTCGTGGACAGTCTTCCGGGGACGGCTTATCACTTGCACCTGCTGCGGAACAAAGGTTTCGTAGAGCATACTGCGAGTGTCGCCTCTGTCCAGCAGTGTCACCGAAAAACCGGAAAGCCCCAATGCACATCCGATGCCCTACCTCCCCTTAGGTCCTGAGGTCTGCGGGCAGCAAAGTTGAACTCAAAAGTTGTCAACGCAAGACTCTGGTATGCCACAGCCTTGTCTGCCTCCTTGGGCGTCTCCTCACAGGAAAGGAGGGATGAGGGTTTAGGCAGTCTGGGCTTTAGCGTTTCGGGAGGGGATAGCATCTTGGAGCGGTGGTCAAGATCATCATCCCAGCCGCAAGTAGCATGTCTACAATATTCGACTCTGGCTGCTGCTCTGGCTGATGATCGTGGACATGACGCTTGCTATGCTTGTTACTATTCTGATGCAGGTGGTCGCTCTTGCTGTGGGCTGCGATTGATTCGTGATGCTTGTTTTGAGATTGTTAGGAATACTTAGGTGTCGTGGCAGGTGCTGGTAATCATGCCAGGTCTGTTAAGACCAAAACATGCCACAACTAGACTGAAACAGCTTCTACGCAAAATCATATACAAATACATGCATACATCCGGACATACGTACCTGCGGCGCACGTTCGTGCATCCATCCATCCATCCATCCATCCATCCATCCATCCATGCAGCCAGCCAGCCAGCCAGCCATACATACATACCTGCGTACATGCATACATACATACATACATACATACATACATACATGGATGCCTACCTACCTACCGACCGAACGACCTACCTACCTACCTACCTACCTACCTACCTACCTACCTACCCACCTACCTACCTACCTACTTACCTACCTACCTACCTACCTACCTACCTGCCTACCTACCTGCATACATACATACATACATACATAAATACATACATACATACATACATACTACTGAATACTATGACATACTTACAGATCAGAATTTCCAATTGAAAACGTCCAGGTGCAGAACGGCAAACAGGCGATTGTACCCACACACAACTTGAAAATGTGTCAACAGGCAGGTACAAGCGGTAACTCATTGGAGCTGTTGGCATATTCTGCGTCCGGTTTCTACGTGCATACCAGTGCTATTGCCGCTATATGCCCCAAATCCCCTCAAAGCGGGGAACTGCCGAAAAGGACGTGGCCCGTCCTTGCTCCCCTTGGACCTGGGCTCTTGCTGGGAGGCGGGGTGCCGGGTTCTCGGGCAGTTGCAGTTCTGGCGTTTAGGGCCGGAGAGAAACCAAAGTAAGCCTTTTGGGCAGAAGTGTGAGGGGGCAGAAGATCTTCGAAGCATCGGGCTTCAGGCTAAAGGCAATAGAGTGCGGAGTATAGGGCTTAGGTTTTTGTTTCGGTCACAACATGTCACAACCCTCTGGCATGGCTCACCCGGCTCAGGGAAATCGCCGCGAAACACCTCTTCCAGAACTCTCCCGCAAGGCTTTGGCCGCGTCAGGACATGAGATCTATGTGATGGAAGACATGGACCAAAGCATCGAGTGTGGAAGTCCACAGGATAGCAAGCGAGAAGCTTGCAGAAAACAATTTGGCATCTGTGCTTCGTCCTCCTCACATCCTACAATACGGATACCCTGCACATCTGGGTATCGGGCGGCTTGCTCGGAGCCATGAATCCAGTCGCTGCCTGGCAGCAGGTCCCATAATAAGGAGCCCCCAAAACCTTATTCCAATTATCAAGACCCCTAAACTAAACCCTAAACCCTAAACCCTAAACCCTAAACCCTGAACCCTAAACCCTAAACCCTAAACCCTTATAGTACTGTAGCCCTTATAGCACCCTTTAAGGAGCCCTTTAAAGGAGCCCGATGAAGCCCTATTCTAATTATTATAAGGCCCCTACATCA